CCTGTTGTTCTATATCACTTATTTAGCTAACCAAATTCATTTAGTAAGATGGGCGATGGGGGGAAGAAGTGCTTTTGTCCAACTTATACAAAGCAAGATTTATCTTGAAAAGCAAATCAGATCCAAAAGAGGATCTCCCCTCAAAGCGCTTGTAATATTATATTCACCAAAGATTTGGCACCCCTGATTTATTAAAGTCTCATTTTCTCATTATGGCAATGTGTTTGTAAATTGCTTCAAGATTTCAGGTGGCATGCTACCTTTAAATGCTGCCTATATTAATGTTTACCTCATGTATATGATGACGGCAGGCTTAGGGGAACGGGAAGCAAAATTATGGATTTTGGTATGAGAAGGGGAAGCACCAGCATCGCCTCCGGGAGCCAACTGTCACAAGCCACTGACATTTCTTGCCCAAACATTCAAAAAGTTATTTCACTACACAGCTTAGAGAAGGGGATCTTTCCTTTTTTAATAAGAGTTAAGATACAGTACATTCATTGACCCATGTATTGGCTGATACAGCTTTTGGGATCAATTTTTTGGCTCACACTTCTAGACTTGTACTCAGGGATGTTACATAAATAAGAGAAACTGTAATGCTGTTTCTTGAGTGCACCATTTCAGAGTGCAGATGAAGCTCACGTTCCTGAATGTTCCTGTCTATCAAAACAACAAACTTGCAAATAGAGAGCCAACATGGCTGAGAGAAGATTTCTAGTTGGGAGATAGCTATGTAGGCATTGTGAAAGAAAATGCACCACCAAAATAAAAACAAAAACAAGAGACATGACTACAAAGATGTGCATAACATTTCTTGAAATAAAAAGTGAGGCAATATTACTATGATAGCTTTCATCTACAATACAGTACATCTCACCATAATGGAAAGACTGTGATCAGGTGGCCTGTGTCTTTGCTCTATATGCAGTCTAGCTGAGAAGCACGGATGGGCAACTTCTTCAAAAAGAGGAAAACTGCATTGCAGATGGATAGACTCCATCAAGGAAGCTTTGAATCTGCAGGATCTGAGCAAGGCTGTTGTTGTCAGGGCAATATCCATACTGTAGAATTAACACAGTTTAACACCACTTTAACTGTCATGGCTGAGTGCTATGGAATCCTAAGAGTTATGGTTTGGTGAGGTACCAGTATTTTTTGGGTGGATCCAGACAGGCCTTTATCCCAGGAGAATCCGCATTTTAAAAACACGGATTTTCTTAGGTGCCTGTCCACACCCATCCCAGAAAGCATGTGTCCAGAAGTTCTCCCGGGACTAGCCTGGGAGAATGTCTGGAGACCCTTCCCCCCCCCTCCCCTAAAGACCCCAGACCTCTTTGAAAAGTAATGAAAACTTACCTGGCTTCCATTATAAGATTTGAGCAGCTCTCCTGGTGCTCTAGAAAAGTGGGGGGGGGAGAGCGATTTTCCTCCCTCCTCTTCCTCCCTCGCTCTCCTGGCGCGTCATTTCTACGAGCTGGAAGAGCTGCTCGAAGCCTGTAATTCAGGCTGGGTAAGTTTTCGTTACTTTTCAAAGGGGTCTGGGGTCTTTGGTGGAAAGGGGTAGCAGTCCAGAAATGGAAATAGTGGGTTTATCCCGTACCTTCCAAGAAGGCGTGGAATAAACCCACTATCTACTGAATTTGCTACAAACCAGGGTTTTCCTGGTTTGTAGAGAATTAATTCAGGACTGTCCAGAACGTTGTCTGGGCAGCCCCTCCTTTATTGAGGTAGATACTATCTGGACTCCTTAGTTAGAGAAGACTAAAGGCCTCGTAAAACCAAAACTGCCTGTTATATGGTTTGCGTGGGTTGCAATGCACACCTTGAAGTGGGGGCCGAGGTTGATGGAAGGTGGACTCCCAAAGATAATATAGCATGGATGCAAACAAAGAAAACTAAAATGTGGCCCATCTCCTCTTTCCCCATTCATTATGAAATCTCTGCAAGGAGGTTAGAAACAAGGAAAATTGACATCTCCAGCCACCATCTCTTTTGCTAGCCCCAAACTAACAAGATAATACAAAATTTAACTAAGGAAGTTGCTAACACAAATTGACTCTTTCTAGGTCACTGGACAGCTGTTAACATTTGGTGATGATGCTAACAAGAACCCCAAAACTCACCTGACTGGTGGCAGAAGCCCAATGCAGTACAACTGTAGAAAACTAAGTATGGTTACTTGAAAGTCATTCTCACAGAGTTTAGTGGAGTTTGTTTTCAAGTAAACATACACAGCTCATTTGAAAACCAAATTTTAAATAGTAGCAATTGTTGTTATATAGGATAACTAAATACATCAGAACAAATATGAAGCCCACAAAACCTTAAGTTATCATATTTGTCAAACTTTGAAAAGCTACAGGACTCACTGTTTTGGTCAAGTTCTTCTCGCTATAATGAAATTGTAGCCACCTCCAAAATAATAACTTGGAATCTGCAGGCTGCTACTCCACAGGTTAAAGAGTTGACATATAAATACATTTACCTGGGACGCATCTTCACTATAGAATGAATGCAGGTAGATACCACTTTAACAGCTATTGCTCAATGCTATGGAATCATGGGAGCTGTAGTTTGGTGAGGCACCAGCATTCTTTGGCAGAGGAGGCTAAAGATCTTGCAAAACTAAAACTTCCATAACCCCATAGCCATGGCAGTTAAAGTAGTGCCCAACTGCATTAAGTGTATATGACCTTGGACTGTTAGAGAGAGAAGGGCTAACTACCATTGTTCAAAGTTGAGGGAACTTCCTCAGGAAGCAGATTTGGGGAGTTATCAAAGGGCCATAAAGCATTCATTATCCAATTTACCATTCTTTCATCTGAACTGTCAGAGAAGAGGAGAGGCCAACAGAATTTTCCACTAGGTATGGCAAAATAACGTGGCTGATTTTAGGCAGACCACTGCTGCGGGCCTTCAAGTTGTTTTCCGCCTAAGGCGACCTTCTCACAAATGTTCAGCCATAGTTTGCCAGTTGCCTCCCTTTGAGGCTGAGAGTGTGTAACTTACTCAAAGTCACCCAGTGGGCTTCGAACCCTGGTCTCCAGAGTCAGAGCGCTACACACAAACCACTACACTATGCTTGGCCTGTTGAACACCTGCAGTATTGGGTTGCTGTAAGTTTTTCGAGCTGTATGGCCATGTTCCAGAAGCATTCTCGCCTGACATTTCACCTGAATCTATGGCAGGCATCCTCAGAGGTTGTGAGGTCTGTTGGAAACTAGGAAAATGGGGTTTATTATCTATCTGTGGAATGCCCAGGGTGGGAGAAAGAACTCTTGTCTCCTTGAGGAAAGTGTGAATGTTGCAAATGGCCACCTTGATTAGCATTTAATGGCCTAGCGATTTTCAAGGTGTTACTTCTTACTGCCTGGGGGAATCCTTTGTTGAGAGGTGATTAGCTGTCCCTGATTGTGTCTGGATTTCCCCCTGTTTTTGGAAGTTGTCCTTATGTACTTTTCTGATTTTAGAGGGTTTTTTTAAAAAAATACTGGTAGCCAGATTTTGTATATTTTCATGGTTTCTTCCTTTCTGTTGAAATTGTTCACATGCTTGTGAATTTCAATGCCTTCTCTGTCTAGTCTGACATGGTGGTTGTGAGAGTGGTCCAGCATTTCTGTGTTCCCAAATAATATGCTGTGTCCAGGTTGGTTCATCAGGTGCTCTGTTATGGCTGACTTCTCTGGTTGAAGTAGTCTGCAGTGCCTTTCATGTTCCTTGATTCATGTTTGGGCAATGCTGTGTTTGGTGCTCCCTAACCACCAAACACTGGATTTGGTGGTGCAGTGGATTAAAGAGCTGAGCTGCTGAACTTGCTGACCAAAAGGTCAGAGGTTTGAATCTGGGGCGCGAGGTGAACTCCCATTGTTAGCCCCAGTTTCTGCCTATCTAGCAGTTCAAAAACATGCAAATGTGAGTAGATCAATAGGTACCGGGAGGAAATAATAAAATGCACGATGGATGCAATTTTAAAGCCTCAGTTGCCCTAGGCTGGAAGGACCACATGAAATGGGATATAAAAACTTGGTATAAATATTTAGCTGACTACCTACTCCAATATTATATTAGTGAAAGGAAAAGTTATTATAGGACAGGCCAAATCGGAAGGACCTGGGAGGCAAAATGGAAGGGTCTCATTTCCAGAATAAAGGGGAAAGATAGATGTAAGGAGTTAAATAAGACTGTCCTCATGACTGAACAATTGTAATAAGTATAGCAAGAGTAATAAACTGCTCCTCGGCGGGGGTGGGGGATGGAGATGTGGTGGGATTGGGGAAAAATACTCGTATTTTGACTGCTGAATGTGTGTGTATATATAAAATAACTTTTTAAAGAAATAGGTACCGCTCTGGAGGGAAGGTAAGGGCACTCCACGCAGTCATGCTGACCACATGACCCTGGAGGCGTCTACAGACAATTACGGCTCTTCGGCTTAGAAATGGAGATGAGCACCAATCCCCAGAGTTGGACAATGTCAGGGGAAAACCTTTACCTATGTAAACTTGTCCACAACCGCATGGTATACGGTAGACTCCTGCAGAGGTGAGAGGCTCCCTCTTGTCCCTCACTGAACCAGCAGTATCCTTTTCCTTGGGATTGGAGAGGAGAAAGGACTCACACGCACCACCAAACACTGGGGGCCCACCCAGGATGAAGGAGCAGCACCCTTCGCGGCATCAGCAGCATCCTTTGAGATGAATGGGGAGGGGGGGGGGACCCGCCACACTGTCGAACCCGATCCCTCTTCGCCCTCTGACGTCACAATCGGGGCAGCGCCGAATGCGCCAATGGGAGGCCTCCTACTCGGGAGGGGGAGGAAAGAGGGAGGGGAGGGGAGGGGGGCGGCGTGACTCATGGATTCCGCGCGGGGCCGGCCCCTCCCCTCCTCTCCTCCCCTCAACCCCTCCCCTCGGCCCCCTTCCGCGTGGGCTCCGGCCTCCGGGGGCTGAGGAGGAGGAGCTCCCCGCCTCCCTCCCTCCCTCCCTCCCTCCCTCCCTCCCTCCTTCCCTCCCTTCTTCCCTCGTGCCCCGCCTCGCCTTCGCGGGCGCACCTGAACCGGAGCAGCATCGCGGACGAGGCAGCGGCAGCCGGAGCAGCCCCGGCATCCGCCTATGGGGCATGGAGGCGGCGGCGGCGGAGGAGGAGAAGGAGGAGGGGAGCAGCAGCAGCAGCAGCGGCCCACACGCGTCCCCGGCCATCCTGCGGGTCAACCTCGCCGTGGAAGAGAGCAACGTCCTGCCGGGCGCTCTGCAGCTCATCCGAAAGCTGAGACCGCAATGGGAGAGCCAGCGGGTCAGAACCAAGGTAGGGACCCTTTGCAAAAGGGAGGGGGGGGGGAACCCGACAACAACCACACACATATCTACACACATCCACACCTTCTTTCTCTCTCTCTCTCCTCACGCTCTGGGGTTTCCCGAGGCCACGCGATGGGATTGAGAATGGGAAGGAACCTCAACCCATCCCTCTCTCGCTTCTCCCCGGCATTCAACAAGTCCAGGGTGGGCTTGGGTGCCAGAACGAGGACCCCACGCCTCCCCACAACAGTCCCAGACCTGCCTCGCCCACCCGCAAACGGATAGGGCTTTTCCTGCAAGGCAGGGGCTTGGATTGGTGGTCTCTTTCCCACGCGAGGATTCCAGGATTCCAAGCCATAGTATTCCCGGAGGCTCGCGCGTGGGTCTTTCTCACAGGCGGGGAAAGTCGGGAGTCCAGGACAAAAAGTGAAGAACCCACATGGTTTCCTGGCAGGGATGGGATCCTGAATGCGCGGGGCACACCCATTCTTTTTTTTCCTCAACGCCAGGGAAGCGCCTCTGCCCATTGATGCTGCACAGACGAATTTCTTTTCTGCCTCACACACATAAACAAGCTCTGAGCAGCCTTAAGGAACTAATACATTAACCAGGGGGAACATGGGGACTGCTTAAGTAGGGGACACATCCACCAGAACCAATCAGAACCCATATGCAAATGTGTAGGTTGAGATAGCTCATGCATGGGCCAACTTGGGCCCTCCTTTCAGGTGTTTTGGACTTCAACTCCCATCATTCCTCACAGCCTCAGGCCCTTTCCTTTTTCCCCTGCCACACAGATGTGAATTGTGCACAGATTATCTGTGCCTTGTATCCACTGTAACTCCCAGATTGGAAAACCAAATCCTCCGAGACTTAAGAGTATGCCTTACACCCTTTCCCTATATATATATATATATTCATGTCAGGAGCTATTTGAGAAACTGCAAGACGCTTCTGGTGTGAGAGAATTGGCCATCTCCAAAGACATTACCTAGGGGATGCCTGGATGTTTTACCATTATGTGAGAGGCATCTCTCATGTCACCACATGAGAAGCTGGAGCAGACAGACGGGAGCTCACCCTGCTCCCCAGGTTCAAACCGCCAACCTATTGGTCAGCAGTCCTGCCAGCAAAAGGGTTTAACCCATTGTGCCACCGGGGACTTCTTTTCCAAGATGAACAGGAAAAGGAATCCCTGGTGAAAACTACATACAGAGAAGGGAAATAACACAGTGCAGGCTAGAAAAGAGAAAGTTGAGAGGGGACATGATAACCGTGTTTAATTATGTGAAAGGATGACATATATGTAATTATTGGATTTTATTATGTATTTCTTTATGTGTACATTGGGGGCATCAAATTTACAAGCTGATCCTACTCAGGACAGTTCACACCTAGAGAGAGTAAGTGTTCCTTATGCTTGTTTTCCCTAAGACGCATATGCTCTACTTCTAGTACTTGTGAACATATAGAAGGAGGGATAGACAACCTGATGATGTTGACAAGCTGGAATTTGTCCAGAGGAGAGTGACTAAAATAATCAAAGGTCTGGAGAACAAGCCCTATGAGGAGTTGCTTAAAGAGCTGGGCATGTTTAGTCCACAGAAGAGAACTGGAGAGGAGACATGATGAAAGCCAAGTATTAATATGTGAGGGGAAGTCATAGGAGGGAGGAAGCTTGTTTTCTGCTGTCCTGGAGACTAGGATGTGGCACAATGGCTTCAAACTACAGAAAAGAAGATTCTGTCTGAACATGAGGAAGAACTTCCTAACAGTGAGAGCTATTCAGCAGTGGACCTCTCTGCCCCAGAGTGTTGTGGGGGCTCCTTCTATGAAGGCTTTTAAACAGAGGCTGGATGACCATATTTTGGGGAGTGCTTTGAATGCGATTTTCATGCTTCTTGGCAGGAAGTTGGACTGGATAGCCCATGAGGTCTCTTCCAACTCTGTGATTCTTTGGTGCCTTCTAGATATTTTGGACCACAATTCCCATAATCCTTGACTGTACCATACTGGCCCTGGGCTTGAAGAGCTATAATTAAAAAAAAATTGTTGGGCCCCGGACTGCTGACTTTCACACCACAGTTTCAAAGCAGGATTTCAGGACACTTTGGCAACTCTGAGATTACCCTAAAGAGAAGTCTATAGGTTGTAAAAGTGTTGGAAGATCACCGTTTTAGTTCACATCTTCCAGTGTTCACACACAGTGCAGTTAGAACTAGCTTGTCATAAAGGACACAAACTGAGTTGTGCTCTGGTTCTCTACAGCTGTCTTTCCCCACTATATGGTCAGTGAAAATCTGGAAAATATGTTTACCTTACCATTCCTGTTTATCCTATGGCTGGGCATCTTGTGATGAAAGAACCATTCTGTTAAGCATAGCACACTTAGTTCCTGGCTGAAAGGATTTAAGAGGACATTCTTGCATTATGTCAATGAGTGCAACTTTGTTATGCCTGCATTGAGTAATCTGGCATATTGGATCATTGAGTCAAGTTAGGATGGTAACTATTCTGCTTTGCCTAAGATGAGAAAGGTATGCTTGGGTTTAGTGGAAGCTGCTTCTGAAGAGGCAGTACAAAACCCTATCCCAATTCTGCTCCAGATTAGTTGGTTTACTTTCACCATAGCTTTGTACATCTGATGTATCAACTCAGTCCCTTTGAGCAAAATTGGGGAACCTGTTGCATCCCAGATGTGGCTGAATATCTCAAATCAGCCCAGACTGAAGGAACAAGATGTCCAGGATGATGTGAGTTGTCCTTCAACAAGACCGCCACAAGTTCTCCAGCCTTCCCTTAATGCAGTGGAACCTTGCTAATGCAGTGCAACCTTGCTAATTCCGCAACCCCTAGTAGAATACATTGAATCTCAACCTTGTTAATGCCGCAACCCCTAGTAGAATACATTGAATTTTTGATATCTCCTCCTAAAACTTCTTTTTGCTTGTGTGTGTATATACCCTCAAATTGCCTGTAGACTTATAATTTCCTAGGGTTTAATGCAGTGTTTCTCAACCTTCCTAATGCCGTGACCCTTTAATACAGTTCCTCATGTTGTGGTGACCCCCAACCATAAAATTATTTTCGTGGCTACTTCATAACTATAATTTTGCTACTGTTATGAATCATAATGTACATATCTGATATGCAGGATGTATTTTCATTCACTGGGCCAAATTTGGCACAAATACCCTGTATGCCCACATTTAAATACTGGTGGGGTTGGGAGTTGATTTTGTCATTTGGGAGTTGTAGTTGCTGTGATTTTTAGTCCACCTACAATCAAAGAACATTCTGAACTCCACCAACGATGGGATTGAACCAAACTGGGTGTTGACCTTGAGCTTCAGAATTGTAGTTCACCTACATCCAGAGAGCACTGTGGACTCAAACAATGATGGACCAAACTTGGCATGAATACTCAATATTCACAAATGTGAACACTGGTGGTGTTTGGGGAAAATAGACCTTGACATTTGAGAGTTGTAGTTGCTGGGATTTATAGTTCATCTACAATCAAAGAGCCCCTTTCTGATGGTCTTTGTCCACCCCTCTGACACCTCCCTCATGACCACCCCAGGGGTCCCAACCCCCAGATTGAAAAACACTGCCTTAAAGCATCACTTTATGTACACTTGCCATTTCAAATAAGAGTGGATTATTCCCTTATTATCAATGTGAATGGCTTTGATGTTGATGTGAGGCATGAATAACTGCTGTCCCTTTTTGTTTTGCATCTGTGCTGGGAAGAAGAGTAGATACTCTGCATTTTGCTCTTGATGGGGAGGCTAATGCTTTTGAAATGGAACAATCTGTCAAGCTATTTCTGCCCATGTGCAAAGCATCATAGAATCAAAGAGTTGGAAGAGACCTCATGGGCCATCCAGTCCAACCCCCTGCCAAGAAGCAGGAATATTGCATTCAAATCACCCCTGACAGATGGCCATCCAGCCTCTGTTTAAAAGCTTCCAAAGAAGGAGCCTCCACCACGCTCTGGGGCAGAGAGTTCCACTGCTGAACCGCTCTCACAGTCAGGAAGTTCTTCCTCGTGTTCAGATGGAATCTCCTCTGTTGTAGTTTGAAGCCATTGTTCTGTGTCCTAGTCTCCAGGGAAGCAGAAAACAGGACGCCGTTCAGCAGTGGAACTCTCTGCCCCAGAGCGTGGTGGAGGCTCCTTCTTTGGAAGCTTTTAAACAGAGGCTGGATGGCCAACTCAAGTGTACTCCACCTGTCTTACAAGATTTGATGAGCAAATACGTATCCCACTTGCAACCAAGCCAGAAAGATGCAGATTTGGGGACAAATCTTGAAAATTCACATTCAGGAATATTTATATGGCATTTCTGGTCGGGTGCTTAAAGACTGTGGTGACCAATTGGCCAGTGTTTTTATTGTGATTTTTAATTGGTCTTTATCTCAGTCTATTATTTCATCTTGTTTTCAGGATTCCATCATTATTCCTTTACCAAAAAAGTTCCCTATTGATAATTTTCAGGACTACAGAGCAGTGGCACTCACTTCCATCCTCATGAAGTGCCTTGAAAAATTGGTCTGCAGACATATCATTTCTAGCTTTCAACATACACTGGACAAACATCAGCTTGCATATAGAGCTAACAGATCAGAAGAGGATGCCATAGCCATCACACTCCACATTACTCTGACCCACCTGGAACAACAGGGGAACTATATGAGGATGCTTTTTTCAGGCTTTCATTCAGTGTTTAACACAATCCTCCCACATAGACTGGTGTCTAAATTTATGGATCTGGGATTGTTATACTCAATCTGTTCCTAGATTATGTACTTCTTGTCTGGATGTTCCCAGAGGTTTAGATTAGGTAATCTTCAGCTCTCACTCTTAACCCTGGGATGGCACAGGGCTGTGTGTTAAGTCCTCTGCTTTACACTTTGTACACGTATGATTTCATTCCCATCCATCATAGCAGTATCATTATCAAATTAATGGATGATACAACAGTAATGGGGCTTATCTCTGAAGGG